TAATGCTCAATGAGGATCTTTTGTGAAATCCAATTTTTTGTGACTTCCTTCACGTTTCCAGTTCAATGCGACTTGTATGTGATCTGCTGTGTGAACTTCATACGACCCAAAAGTGTCCCGCATGCGCAGAAGAGGACACGACGACGTCACACACAGCGAGCGTGCTCAGTGTTTACGGAAGTAAACATGGATGGTGACGCTGCCACTCCCCCGCCGCCACCGATGGTGGAAACAGAACTGTTACTGCTATTCCAAACTGACATGTGCGTTCTGGCCACTTCCACCCCGTTGTAGCGCGACCTCAGGGTGAAATTGGCCGGAACATACAATTAGGCGTGAAATCCAGCGATGTGTAGTGTTCTAACAACACACTAGTTATTATCACAACTATAAACAGCAAATATTAACAAATGAGCCTTCCAGCATCAAGCCCTCCTTGTGTCTCAACCTCCGTCTTGACAATCCGACATAAAAGAAGGCTTTACATTTAGTGTCTGATGATCGAGTCACGACTGTAACTTTGCTTCATTTTGCACCGTTCTGCTTTTTAAAAAATTTTTTTTTAAACCTGTGTTTCTGCATGAACTAAACAATCTTCTTTGTAAAATTTAAATGTGGTCTATCAGATTAGCGAAGACTAGGTCGTTCTCTCTGCTTCAACTATTTATGCTAAGTACAGCTGATCACCCGCTGGCTGTAGCTTAAAGCAGAATCAATCTCTTTATTTCCAACCCTGGATTCATGATCACATTCTTGATCTACTATCCAGGTTTCAAAAGGCAATTCCTCTTGAAGGTGCAGGGGAAAAAAGGACTCCTCGACATGCACGTCTGCACTCCCTAACAGGCTACATCTGTAAAATTTAACAGCATCACCTTGGATCATGTCAAAGAGGAAGCGCGGCGGTTTTCCGCGAGGCTTCTTCTCCTGGCAGCGGGCCTCCCTGCTGTCACTGCACCAACATGCACAAACATGCAGTGGACATATCAGCGCTCATCAAAAATAAAACGCCGCCTTTAATAATTGAAAAAGGCTTCCTGGTGGCAATAGCAGTCATCTTTAATGCAGATGACAGGAATTAAAAAGGGAGAATGTGCACCGGCCCTCGCAGCGTGGACTTTCTTCATCCTGCTGAGCGGCTGCTGAGCACCGCCGGCTAAAGCGGAGATAGCGGTCGGACGCGGGACTAACGCTGGTGTTATTATTCTAATTGATATCATCGCTTAAGTCTGAGACTCTGTGCCGACGGACCACTGTTGTGTTTGTATAAGGATGTGTTTTTCTAAAGGTTAACTCAACTACTTTGCTGAGGCCTGACCTTCTTGCTAATAGAGTTTGTAAACATAATCCAAAAATTCTGCCTTTTTATTGGCTGCAGTGTTGAGAAGAGTTCACCCATACGTTCTCGCATTTAATCCTGTTGATGCTGGAAATGACCCTAACGATGAATAATTTAGAGCAACGCTGAATGAATAATCAACTCTGAGTCAAAATCATAATTTGAAACAATACAATTAGCAAAACCTGCAATGTGGGATGTACAGTACGCAGCAGAGTTGATTTCTCTATGTTTATTATTATTTATTCCTTATTACTACTTTATTGAACCTAACACAGTCACAGCTTTTGTAATATTTGCTCTCCCTCCATGCCACTTCAAAATCTAATAAACAACCTACATTACACTGCATTACTTGTTGCCACGGTGATGGTGGCACGCATAGACACAGCGCCCCCTTCAGGAGACAACAAATGTTAACGTTTTGAGTGTCTTGTCTATCCCACATGTTCATCCCACAAAACTTGCGGCCGGGAGACTTTGCTGGGCATCAGGACAGTGAATGGATTTGCGGCGATCGGTTGTGATTTGGACACACTACACCAACACAGAGTCCGATCAGAGACGACGCCGGCAGTTACCCGAGAGAGAAGGAAGCGCAAACGGTACGAACGTAAACAACGGAGGAGGAAGAGAGCCGGGATCCATGCTAAGCTAAATGCTAACCGATGCTCCTACTCTCCAATGTCCGCTCCCTCCACAACAAGCTGGACGAGCTACGTTTGCTGAGAGAAACCCTCAGAGAGTGGAGGGACTGCTGTGTGTCTGCTTTAACAGGAACATGGCTCCATGACAACATCCCAGACGGACATACAGCTGGAGGGGATGCAGACAGACAGACAGACAGACAGACAGACAGCTCTGGGCAGCATCTGCAGCTTCACCATCGTCACACCATCGTGTGTGTTTCTGTGTCCATGAAGACCTACCAGGACCTGAAGAGGTTCACCATGTTCAACGAATGGCGGCGTGCATGGATGCAGCGCCCCCTTCAGGAGACAGCGAACATTTAGTGTCTTATCCCAGACATGCATTCTGCAAAACTTACTGGTTGAATAATCCTGAAGAAACGCTCTCTCATCTTGCCTGTACTGCTGCATATGTACAGCAACATGACAATAAACCTGATTTGATTTGATTTACATCTTTAAGTTGCCAACGTTGCACTACAATATACAGCAGGTCACATTTTGATGTCATGAATCTCAATATTTGCGTGAAAAAAAGAAGCAATTAAAAACAGTAGTTTTAAAGTTCATTCTGAATCAACTTTTCATTTATTTCCTCTACAAACATGACTCTGTTTCCAAAACGAGCATGTGTATCTTGCGTGGGCGTACTTGAACACATAATAAAAGTTGTTTCGGTGCTTCAGCTTTATTTCGGCTCCCCGCTGTCGGAGGGCCTTATTTCTTCCTGTCACATCAACAACGACGCCGTTCGTTTGTATCACTTACGCTCCGCTTCCTCTCTGTGCTCATCCAGACACGTGGAAGTCAATTAAGTCTAATCGCCGGTAAATTACACAGCACTTGCATGGCAGTTACTGTCTACGTAGCGGCGAAGTCTCGTTGAAGGTTATCACATCGAGGTCATTAACCGTTATGAGATAAGAGAGTCGTGCAGGTAAAGGAAGGAGAAGAGGCAGAGTGGCGACTGCTGCTGCTGTATCAAGCCGTAATGAAGGAGGGCGTTTCAAGATAACACCGACATGCCAGAGCTGCAGGATTGGAGCAATTTACAGATGAGGTCAGTGTTGGAAAGGAGAAGTCACTGACACTTAACAATTTAAACATATCTGCAGTTGAAGCCAGACGTTTACATCCACTGCATAAAAAGACACAGAACCTGTTTTTTTTTCTCACTGACGTTAAATCAGACTAAACTTTTTCTGTTTTAGGTCAGTTAGGATTACCAGTTTTCAGATGCCTGAAGGTTCCACTTTCATCTGTTTAAACAGTTACACACAAGCACAAACACCATGGGAATGTCCAGCCATCATAGCGCTCAAGAGATGAAGTGTTTCGGTGCAAAATGTACATATTAACCCCAGAACAAAAGCTAAAGACCTTGTGAAGATGCTGTACCGACACAAGCTGAAAGGCTACTCAGAGAGGAAGAAGACATTACTCTTAAGGAAACATAAAAAAGCAGATTACAGTTTGCAAATGCACACAGAGACAAAGACCTCCATTTGTGGAGACGTGTCCTGTGGTCTGATGAAAGTAAAACTGAACTGTTTGGTCTTAATGACCATCGTTGCGTTTGGAGGAAAAAGGTTGAACCTTGCAGGCTTGAGAACACCATCCCAACTGTGAAGCACGGGGGTGGCAGCATCATGCTGTGGGGGTGTTTTGCTGCAGGAGGGACTGGTTCACTTCACTAAATAGATGGCATCATGAGGAAAGAACATCATGTGGAAATATTGAAGCAACATCTCAAGACATCAGCAGGAAGTTAAAGCTTGGACACTAATGGGTCTTCAGATGGACAAAGACCCTCAGCATAGCACCAGATTAGCTACAGAGAGGCTTCAGGACAACAGAGTCAGTGTTGTGGAGTGGCCATCACAAAGCCCTGATCTCCATCCTGTAGAAAACTAGTGCTGAAAAGACGTGTGGAGCAAGGCGACCAACACACCTGGCTCAGTTCCACCAGTTCTGTCAGGAGGAATGGGCCAGAACTCAGCAAACTATTGTGAGAAGCTTGTGGAAGGAAACCCAGAACGTTTGACCCAAGTCATACAGTTTAAAGGCAACGCTAGCAGATACTGAGGAGATGGATGGAAACTTCTAAACTTTGATGAAAGAAATTCTCTCTCTCACTATTCTGACATTTAGCAAATAGAAATAATTTTGTTAATCCTAACTGACCTAAAACAAGAACGGTTTAGTCGCATTTATTGTCAGATAGTGTGGAAAAAAAAGGTTATATGTCTTTTTACACGGTGTATGTAGACTTGTGGTTTCAACTGTATGCTGTCATAATAATACAATCAAAAAATCCTTCACTTTGTAATAATGTCCTGCAAATTTTCTTTCTTCCATGACTTTCTTAATGGTTGAATTTAATTATTTCATGAAGAATGTCCTCAAAATAATATGTAACAGTCGTATATGCTGAATCCCTGCCTGGTGGAAGGGTGGGATGAGGTTTTATACTATATGGCACGTTCTAATATTTAATATTCATGACATTAATTAGCACCGATGGCTGTGTGTGCTACTGTACGTGTCTTTGTGCGCCGTATGTGGTACTGTATATACGCAATTAGCCTGACTGCTCCCTCCACCACCGCCGTATGCTTTAAATACATCTTTCCTCATCTGCCTCTTTATGGTGCTCTTCTCTCTTTCTAACCTTCACTCTGGTGTTGGTATTAAAGAGGAGGGTGAGCGTGCGTCCATGAGCGCTGTATTGATGTGCGAATGAATGCTTGTGTGCGTATTTCTGCAAACATGAACATAAAACACGCATGTGCATCCATTCATACGTCCGTACAAGCTGTCTACTACTGCCGCTGGATCGATGCCTTAAAATCAGCAGACATTTCGTCATCATTTGCTCAGGAAGGTGTCAGCAGGTTGCATTACGGGCTACACATTACGACCATCAGAGCCTGAGCATCGTTCTGGTGTTCTCATGCGTACGTCCTTCCTACCTGTTTGTCGGTGAGGGCGTACAAGTACTGGTGGTCCGGGCTGAAGAGCAGATCCCTCAGGATGGGGCTCCCGTCGCTCACCACCACGTTCTCATACAGCAGTGCAGGCTGGGAAATGGAGTTGACCAGGATCTGGAAGAGGACAAAGGAACACAGCAAAGTTACAGTGAGGCTATAATTGAGCTTGTTTTGTTTTTTACAATTGTATGAAGAACAAATTGGGGAGTAATATGAAATAAATAACCCGCAGTCACCCATCTGTATACACAGCTTTTGTTGGAACAACTGTACATGATATTACATTTCCATTGTGACGGGAGGCACGTCCTTGAAGATGTCAACTTCAAGGGGTCACTATCCCCACTCTCACCCCAACCGGTCGAGGCAGATAGCAGAAAGGGTTGTTCTTCACCTCTCGTAGTCTAATCGTAGCAACTGGACCTGCTTGAGTTTCTTGAAGATGTTTCATCTCCCATCCATCAGATCTGACTGACTAGTTGGGAATTCCAGATACTTATAGCCTTAAGGAGCCATTAACACGTGACTCCTACAGAATATACGTATCTGGAACTCACAACTAAATTGTGAGTCTCTTGGATGGGAGGTGAAACATCTTCAAGAAACTCAAGCAAGTCCAGTCGCTACGATTAACCTACAACCATGACCGGATGACTGAGAATCTTCAGACATATTCCCCGTCCCATTGGGGTTTTATTTTGGTTCCTTCCCACCATTGCCGTCCGCTTGCTCAGAGGGAGGCCAATTTGGATTGTTGGGTTCTCTGTCTAACACTGAAAGGTCTTCATCTTACTATGTTGGGCACCGTGAGATGACATATGTAACTGCGTTATATAAATAAAATTGAATTGAACATCCAAGCAGTGTTTTTTGTAGCATCAGTTTGTCAACTATCCACTGGTACAGTTTATATATATAGTCATGTTTTGGCAGTATATGCGGTGCAGCGGTGCATGGATGGTGAACATGGTGTGCACTGGCTGGTGTACGCTGGAAGCCAGCTACAGCTGTTGCATTAAGGTACCAGAGTTTTCAGTTAACAAGCTCTCTCTCTCTCCATTTCCCTATTGATGTTGCACATAAACCCTGGAACAACCTCGGTCCATTTCAATTATTTACCAGTGTTATTTATTGATACACTGAGTTGCATTTTATCTCCTCTGACTTCTTAGTCGAGTTGGGCTCCACACCACACACACTGTCTGCCCCATGTACACCACTATGTATTAGTATTCCCACACATTTCTTCGGTATTGTCTTCAGACATCAGCGGATGGCCGCATTAAATACATCTCACCCTGAAGAAACACGGCAAACGCTCGCCGGACACTTTTAATTTCAGCTAAGACTCATTCCGTCTTTCCTGTGAAAGTCTCTTGTGATGCGCAGCTGCTTTGTTCAGAAAAGTGATTTTTCCACTTCCCCTCCGTGTGAAAGCAGCCAATTCCGATTTCCTTTTCATCTGGCGTAACACTTCAGAAGTTTACCTGAAATGTTGCCGTCAGCTGAAAAACAGCCATTGAAGCAGCAGATGACATTTTCAGCACTTTCATTTGGTTCTCAATTTCTGCTGAAATTCAAAATTATACAAGTTTGTTACGGTGCCACAGCGCTGGAGATGCAACAACGGCACACCGCTAAACGATGGCTCTTGGGTCGGGGCCTCGCCAGTGTTCAGTCTACTGACAGAATCACAGAGGGTCACTCCTCCTGCAGCAGCAAGTACATCTCTTCTCCCTTTCCTCTGTTCTTCTCCTTCTGGATCTTCCTTTTTTTTTTTTTCTAATTTCCCCGACCTCCATCTGCTCATCCATCACCTGACAGCAGTTTAGTCTGCTGAAACTTTTGTGTTTTTCCGCGCTCACTCTGTCATCTCTCTTTTTTCTCTCCTTGGTCTCTGTGGTTATTATCTGCCAAATCACTACCAGAGTTTCCTTAATCTTTCTCTGAACAGACGGTTCATTAACAGACAGGCTGTCATCGCGGTGTGTGCTTTTGTTGCTTAAGAGAAGGAAGCAGCTTTAGAAAAAAAAAAAAAAAAAGTCAAGTGCTTCCGCAAATCAGCTTTGTGGAGATACTCGGCGGGGCACGGAGATTAAAACTAAAAGGTAAAACGTGTGATACGTTTACTGCACAAAGGGGCAGGTTTTACGGCAGCCGAGAGCGGTCGTTTTCCGCTACTGTTCTTTCTTCGCCGTTTTTTTCGACATAACGAGTTAATTTTCTTGTTATGTCGGGATAACAAGAATCGTTTTCTCGTGAAAACAAGATAATTTATCTCGAGAAAACCAACTTCGTTTTCTCGAGATAACGAGATAATTGGTGTTTGTGTTTGCCCGCTTGTGCCCGGTCCAGGATGGATGGGGGGCCGGAGGACAGACGAGACCGGGCACGAGCACTTCATTGTAAGTTGTCGTGCCCGGTCAGCTGTTCTCATGACACGTCATGTCGTTATCTCGAGAAAACGAATGCCGTTGTCTCGAGATAACAAGATAATTATACCCACCAGATTCTTGGGAGAAAATATCTCCTCTTGATAAACGCACCATTTTTCTAAAGTTAGTTTACTTCCTATTTACCTATTTATTTAGAGTGAAGCTATTTTATGATGCACATTGTGTGGGGTTTTTTTTATCTCGAGAAAACGCCGTTTAAAAAAACGTGCGGCCATGACCGCTCTCGGCTTCCATAAGATTTTGTCGCCTTACATATGGTGCATATATTCACATAGGATGTTGTGTAAACTTATACAATCTGCTGGAAAAGTTGCACATTACATAACTTTTTTCCGTGTGTGTGTGTGTGTGTGTTTTCCTTGTTGTTGTTGCATGTGTGTGAAGGAGGTGTATCCCAGTTGTTCCTGTGCAAAGGTCATTTGTTTTAGCAGTCCCCTACGTCGCTCCCACATGAAGACACAACACAAACACACAAACACACACACACTCCCAAACTTTTATTGACATCAAGTGAGCGTGACCTTTTGTCCCTTTGTTTTTCTGACTCTGATGGTTTCTCTCTCTCTCGCTGTCAACAGCAGCAGCACTGAGCTCACACTTACACATTCGCTCAAACACAAACACACAAAAAAAACCCACTTTATTTGACCATTCTAAAGCTGCTACACGCCCTGGGCTGCTGTATCATTTGTGATGAGTGAAGGACTGTGGCGGAACGAGGTGGGGGAATGAGAGCGGGGAGTGCGCTCTGCCCTACAGCTCGGGGCAGAGGGCAGTTGGAGTGGGATTCAGGTCAGCTGGCACAGAGGGGACTGCAGACTGAAGCAGGTGACTGTAGATTCTCATCTAGTCTGCTCGCCCGCAGGTTTCTGCTCTCCTTCTGCGACCTCTGCACTCTAGAAGTTAGCGTGTCCAAACACGGATTCCTCACCGAGGAAGCGGCAGCACTTAGGGGGTGAGAAACTTCGATAAACCTAAACAATATTTTTCTTTTCTACTGGAACATCGCATTCACACCAAAAAAAAAAAAAAGGGTTTATTTCGGATCGGTTAAGTGCGGCGTTATATTACAGGAGCTTCACATAAATGTCGTCTGTTTACCGAGCTGAGATACCTGCAGGGAACCGGCTTCATAAATTTCCTCTCTGTAGTGTGCGCTCGCTAAATTCAAAGCCATAAAAGTGAAAAGCGGGGCCACACTGGGGCATCTGGAACTTTTTTTTTTTAACGTCTCCATTTTGTCCAGTTTTCTGACTTTCTGGAACTTATTAACAGAAAGCCCCGGCTATAAGATGAAAGCAACTCTGCTCCAAAAAAAACAGTGTCTACCTGTTTTAAAAGGCACTTATTAAATATGCTTTTATAACTGCTCCCTGGATGATTACTAGAGTAAAAAAAAAAAAGCCCATAAAGCTTACTGCTTTGATGTTACTGACAGCTTATGAGTCATTAAAACAGACTGCCTTTTTTTTTTTTTTTTTACTGATTAGTTTACCTCTATGGAGCGAGACAATCACACATATTTTTATCTTGCTCAGCAGTGCCACTCTCCGATGAGTGCGCTCAACATTAATTGCTGCTATTTGCATTCTAATTATCCACCAATCAATTAGTTTTAAAACACACACGCACAAAAAAAAAAAAAAAAAAAATGACATATCCATTCAGTCTCTTCAACAGAAGATGACTTGTCTTGCGGAGCGGTAATGCATTACTCTGTCGAACAACTTAGCTCTCCATTTATATTCCCGGCCTGCAGTTAACGCTCCTTTTCTGAGGTGAGTGTTAGGACGTGCCTTCGATCTTTCAGACAAAGGACGGCCTCTTTAGGCAACTTTGGGTCACGCCGCTCCACAGATGTGCCGCCGTGAAGAAAGTTGGGATGGGGATGGAAGTTAAAGGTGACTTTTCCTGATGAGTTTGTGGCTCTGACTTTGGAGTCTCGTCCCCCTTCTTTTTTCCCCATCCTGTGTGTCCCTCTCTCTAAGACCTCTGTCCTCCTCTATCCTCCCGGGATTAGGCTCATTACCAAACCAGCGCTGATATTACCAAGGACGTTGTAACCCCTCGCACACAGGCACACACGCTGAATTCCACAAGTCCGGACAAAAAAAAAAAAAAGAAACCACACTTGGGTACTCGCGGCAAAAAAATTAAAAGCATAGGCACGGATTTTAAGAACAACACCTGTCAGTGTCTTTAACAAAAGTGTTTACAAGTGATTCATATTTGGAACTATGTTTAAAAAAAAAAACATGTCTCTAGAAAACATCTAACCATCACCATTTCCAAATCCTTCTGCTGAAAATGAAAGTCCTTTGCATCTAAAACCCGTGTCGAAGGGTGCAAAATTGGACAAATAAGGTCCATCAGCTGCTCCCTTCACACTGTATTCAAGCAGAGAGGCTTTGTACATGAGCAACAACAAATAATAATAGATTACGCTGGCACTGTAAAATAAATTGACCAGCGATGAGGAGTCACCTCATTTAACATTATCGTCCCTTCATCTGTTTCACCGTCTGTCTGTTCAGAGTTTTCCTCACACACTGTAAACAGCAAAAAAACACTGACCGGAGCAGATCAGTGCATGGAAACAGACACACACTGACCGGAGCAGAAGAAAACAGCACACAGAGCTGCATGAGTGCATATTAA